GTATTACCTAAGCCCAGATTTTTATCTTGTCCGATGGACTCACTAGGCTTATATCTAACAAATGTTCACTTATTCAAACATTTGGAGTTGCAGTTTTATACCAAACAGACGATGTAAAAATTAGTATTCAAGATTTATTCTAATCTAGATAATTAAACTACCGTAACAAATCATGTTCCATGCAAAACCGTAACGATCTTTATCTTTATCAACGATACTGTCGCTGATCCAAATCATAGCCTTTTTAAAAATAAGCGGTTGAGTTGCCTTCAAAATTTTTAGAAGAGCTAATAAAATTCAGATAATCTGCAGTAGCAAATCGTAATTAATTAGCTTTGAATATAACAGAAACTACAAGACACTTTTTAGCTTATCCGGTTCTCAGCTGCTTTCTTGCATTTGAGTTGAAAAACTTGCTTAGACTCAGTTCGGCATAAAATGTTTTAAGCAGCTATCTTCTAAAAACAAACAATAAAAATCTTTGGAAGGCTTTGTAAACAAACCCAAGTTTTTAAAATCAACTGTCTAAAGGAGGCTTAGTTGGTACTTTTATTTAGAAAAGTAAACAGAAGCTTCAAGATGCTTTTGAAAAGCTTAACGACACCAATACATCCATCCAATCTGCTCACGATTGCCATATGTAGATGGAAATAGAACATTTTTGGAACAAAATTTATGGCCCATACCCCGTAACTATTTAATTTTTTAGTATCTCACATGTTTTAAAAATTTCATCTCGTATTCTATAACATCAAAACATTCCAGGTCTTGCAGTAAATTAAATTTTTAGTATTGATTGCTCGGACCTGGTTAACTACCACACAGTTTAATTGTTATTCCATTAACGACATGCCTTAAGCTCAAGTTTTCTGTAGTAGGGTAAGTTTTTAGTTCCGCAATGTAATGCCGCTCACAGACTAATTTTTCAAAAAACTCGTGTAAAAACGAGATGAATGTATGAGCGAGCATAAAAGCTTTGCAAAGAATTGTACAACGAAATTTTTTTTTTAAAAGTTTAAGAAAAATATAGGAGGACGTCAACTTTTCGCATTTCTCACACTGAAGAAAAATTCTTCCTTATTCAAATGCTACGCAGCCTCCACTTTTATGTTTTCTAGAAATATTAAAAATCTAACTGTGCTTCATAGCTTCAGAATACTTCGTTTTTTAAAGATCTCACTCAGTAGTCACAGGAAAACAGTTATCTTGTCGTGAGCGAAGCAGATTTGTTACTGGTTTAAAAAGTAGAACCCCTCTTACAGGGGTTTAAAAAAGAAAAAAATTTCTGTCTCAGGTCAAAAAACTATAGTTTTAGGAAAGCACAAGGTTCAAGGTCTGAAAAGAAGTTTCATCAGAGAAGACAACTATTTTTTCAGCCCAGAAGTAGATTTTGATACATATTTGACTAGTTTGGGTAAACCTCAAAGGGAAGAATAAAAATGTTTTTAGGAATAAAAAAGTGCTGTTTTTTTAAAAAACTTTAGCCCGCATCAAGGTGAAGAGCAAACGAATAAGTATGAAACTGAAAATTGAATTCTTCTATAAGTCACTGTTACATACTTTGGTACTGCCTGCATAAGACAATAAAGTAGTTGGAAGATAACTTCAGAAAAGTTATGATTTCTTTATTTCTTTCAGCAGAAAAACTGTCGTGATAAGTTTTCATGAAATTTTTTTTAAACCAAGACTGATTGACTTTGATAAAATTAATAAAGAGAAGTTCCTACAAAAAATATACTGAGTAAAAACTTACAGAAGTTACATATATTAGCCAGAACTGTAACTCTGAAGTAATTTTCTTGTCGTTGAGCTGACCTTCCTTTGTAAAGTTGGTCGTTTCCAGCGACTTGGTTGCGGAATTCTACCATTCTCCTTTTATGCCTAAATTCAGTATGGACAAACTTCTTCACAACGACTCATATAAAACGTGACTTGTCTTCGTAAAAAAACGAAAATAAAGTAATTCTTACGCAAAAAAATTTGTATTAGCTTTCGAAAAGCTTTTTAATAAGATTTTCTGGGTGGGTTTGATTCAACAATGGCGCTCTCAAGGTGTCCTTTGCATCCCTTTATTTTTTAAAGGTCTTACTTTCAACAATCTTTCATATCTTATACACTTCCGAGGTACTTTTGATCTGTTGCGCCTGTAAAACTTCCATGAGCATTATTTTCCGAATTTGGTCCAAGCCTTATAAACACCATCAGACTTTTTTACAATCCGGCTTTTCGGCGCGGTTCAATAAGACAGAACTGCTTGTGAAATAAAGTAATTTCATCATGCTTCTATTATTTGCGCAGTGAACCCTGTCCCAAGTTCTGCTCAGCTAGTTTTTCACTGTGGACGTGGTAGATGAAAATGTGAGCAGTGCACACTAAAAGGTACGGAATTGCAGTCTGGAAGTTTTGCCAGCAGTAAGAATTTGAATTGAAGAAACGCGTGAAACCGCATCTATAGAAAATCTAAAACAATCAACCGAATTTGGCCTACTAGGATAGCCGTATAGGCGTAGCGAGTTGTTTGAGCAATGAAACTGCATTAAAAGATGAGCAATCAAAAAAGTGAGAGCCAGCATAAAATTTGCTGAGAGTGCGCTAGTTGAATCAACAGCACTCGAAAACATTGTACCCCAGAAGTCAAGTCATTTGCAGTAAGTAAAGAAATGAAGCTTTGAAAGATTTGCTGAAGTAAAACGGCACCAAAAAAAACGAGTTTTTGAACCAAAAACCGTAAATAAAGTTTTCAAATCAAACAGCTATTGTGCGGATCACTTAAATACTGTTCTTTTTTTTGTACTGCAAAAAATAGAAATATGGAGAAATACATATTTTTTATATCTTACTGCGTCAAACGTCTGTCCTCCCAATAACACCTATTTTTTTAATTATCACATTTATATTAGTATTTGTTGATTTTTATACTCAGATTTGATGCTTTCTTTTTGTAAGTAATTAATAAGCTACAGATTATTGTCAAAGCAGAACGTCTGCAGAACGATGGACTGCAGTTATTGTAAAAGTACCGTTGTAAAAGAGCAAGTGAAATAATGGCCATAATAATGCTGCAGCAACCTATAATTATCCTCGCAAAATCCACGTAAATCAATATTGGAGGTGTAAAAACTGAACCGCTTCTGGAAACAATTCTAACTGATTCATTTTCAAAGACGAAATATAAATAAATTCAAAAGCTTGAAATGTATTTAACGTTTATGTCGGTACAATTCTTATAATTGGATAGTTTATCACTTATTTCTAATATAAAGGCTGATAAGTCAACTGAAGTTTGAGCGCGTCATATGTTTCTGCAAAACATTTGCTACTTCAGTATCATATTATCTTAAATTTTTCTGTTAAATATCTGCTTCGGCTTAGCTTACGCATATGCTACAGTTAAGAAGCACCAAAAACAGGTTGAAGACTTGACTGAATAAAATCTTTAATCCTTCTACTCTTTCGTAGTCCTTCAAAAAGTTTTTCAAAATATATTTTTGAACAAGTTCTTTTTTCTTTGAAGTAGGAATGACGCAGTCAAAACTAAAAATAAGAAAAAAACTTGTTATGCGGAAAAAAATGAGGGTTTTCAAAGTAAGGAAGCAATCTTCATAACAAAATTCTTTGATATACCAACATTTTTCGCATTGATCAGGTTTTTTATTTTGTAGCTGTCCCAAACCATTTTCTGAAAGTACCTTTTGCGCCTTATTTTGTTTTACTTTCAAAATAGCTGATAAACTGATATATTCTTTTGATTTTGCGCATAAAAAGCAAATTTTTCAAAGCTTAACTTCACCGCAAACTTTTATGGTAGTCCGATACGCTTTTAAGTCTGAAAGTTTTATTTAAGGCATCTGGTTAACTTATAGTACTTTTTTAAAAAAGGGAAAAGGAATGAAGGATCTAGTTGTTACACAAAAAAGAATAATTTTTTAAATATTTTGCTTTCTAAGGAAAAACACTTAGCTGGAAAAAACTGACGTGTCTAGTTTAAAAGCTACGACTGAAAAAAAATTTAAAATCATGAGAGACAGATGCGGATGATTGATTTGCGGAGAATCACTTAATTTGCTTTTTTATGATTCAATGTTTACATCATTTTTTCAATTAAACTACGTTTTCGTGAAACAGGCACCTAAATTAGTTGCAGCAGACAAAAGACTATCATTTTTCTCATAAGGTTTTACTAGGTGTTAAGTTTATTGACATATTCGCAGTATTTCTAGCGTCATCTAAAAACTCAAACTTTTTGGCAGTAATGTTCTTTAGAGCAGCTAATTTTGTTTTTCCTAAAGAATAAAAAAAGCAGGTTTGTCTGTGTGATTTCAATATAAAAAATTACTTACGGACACATTTTTACTGTTTTTCGATCAGGTAAATGAAGTTCAGTGACATATAAAGCAATCATCAAAATAGTTGCCGACCCTATAGACAAGGATACCAATAAAATAACTATCCGTAACCGATTGGCGAAATAGAATAACGGGTCACAAACGACCAGAAGTCGGTCTATGCTGTTTGCTAACAACATAGTTGCAAATTGGAAATAAATCCATATCTCCAGTGGTGTAACTGACTGAAGATTTTATAAATTCATAATGCAGATATAAGTTGATTCAAAATAATTCTTTTCACATTCAATTTCAAAAATGTGCTTCAAAGTTGATCATGCAAGATGAACTTTTTTATTTTTCTAACCATTCCGTAACGCGCTAAAGCATTAAAACAATCAAAAAAATAAGTTATTTAAAGCTAAATTGAATTATAGAAATTTTCACAAACCTGATATAAACAAGTTTTTGAAGAAGTAATTTCTCCAAGTATGTCCAGGAAATTTTTAACAGTACGAACAGTACCTTTAAGACCAAGAACTACACCACATGCAAAACTGATGAACAACTGGAACACCATAAGACCATAATTCGATCTTAAAATTGACACTTTTTTATTTTTTGAATACTCAGTGCAAAAAATAAATAACTTTTTATCTGTTTTAGTCAAGTAAAAAAACATTTTTTTTTTGCTTTCAGAAATCATTGAAGAAGCTTTACGAAGTTATAAATAAAAAAATCAAAAAAAAAAAAAACTAAATATGTCAAAGAAGTATTAGAGGTATACCTTAGCTTCTTACATTTAACAAGTTTTATAAAGAAATACAAATTTGGAATAGCTACAACAACACCAAAAATAATATATCCAAATGTGGCAACATAAGCATCTGCTCGATAGATCATACTTTTGACAAGACTAAGATCGGTAGCAGTTACTGATTTGTAACGCTGGCGTTAAACGAGGAAAATGTAGATTTGAGAATAAACAGCCATTAGCAGCTTCAAATATCGACTTGCAACACCATTAAACTTCCGTATACCTGACTAAACGACACGCTAAGCAAAGAAAAAACGAAAATTTTTGAAAAGATTGTAAATAGAGGTTTATTAAGCTGTTACAATATAACTACTTTAGGTAGTTCAAATATAAAGACTCTTTCTAAAAAATTTCTTTCAAGAACCTTCAACTATCTTTCCTGGTATTTCAGTCTGCACCACCTTGATTGCAATGGTAATATTATAAAAAGTTACTTAACAGAAAAAAATAGATTTCAAGTGGCTCTATATTTTACAGATGTCAACTAAGCTATCCTTTATAAAAAAACAAAAAACAAAAAAGTGCAAAATTTTTATTCATTTATAATTATGACTGAATTAAAGAATAGCCGAATAAAATGTCGATCCCATGTTTTATGCAAAACTCTCTTTTACCTTAACAATTGAACCGCTAGAAACAATTTAGTATGGCTATAGCTGCCAATAATAATTTTCTTCTTTTTTGCAGAAACAACATTTCACTT